CATGGCCTCTCAAGTCGGGTTCACACTACACCGTGTCGTGTGATTTCGTATCTGTATGATTATACCAAAATGAGATACCAATGATATTAATATTGTATCTGATGATAACATATTATATTATTTTATTTTAGCTATCACTTTTCCGCACATAAATGTAACCACACGGTCAAAAATTGAATATATTCAATTTTGCAGTATCGTTTGGTAACTGTGCAGGTGGTAACTGTGATTATTTTACACTTCACGCCACCAAATATTAATACAGTACATTATATAATTTCCAAAAGATTTCTGTTGTTTTTGTGCTTTCTATAGATTTTGAAAATTTTTTTATGAAATATTTTTATTTGTGAGCAAAATACTAGACGATTAAATACAAGATTTTTCAAGTGTTGTCCATACTTGAATTATAGAATTATATCGAAAACAAATTCACATTTAAGTTGGTGTTTGGTTTTCATTGCAGGATATACTTACGCAAGATAACTCTCATTTATTGTAAAATATTTCAAAATTTATCAATAACCGCAATTCGTCGGTATGTACCTACTAAGTTAGAGACTTCTTGTTTTAATGTTATTTGCATAAACATTTTTTAGAAACGCCTTTGGTAGAGGGTTTCAAATTATTCAGCACCATCAATTATCTTAAGCTTGGAATGAAAAATATATTTTTTCGGTTTATTAAAAAAAAACCAGAGGCAGCCGTCAAATATGAAAGATATTTACCGGAAAAGACAGTGAAGGTCAGTCGTTATATATACATATCATGGTGAGTAGTAGAATACTACTCAAAGTGACTGTATAGTGCATATCGTGCACAGTAGAGAGCAATAAATAAATTATAATAAATAATATATTTATATGCATATACTATATTATTATAAATTTTAAAATCAAATTGTGTGTGTGTTATGTCCGGTTCGTTATAATGTAGCATAAAGACTTAAATATATCAAAACGAGAAATAAGGAAATGTGTTGATTGCCATGAATAAAAACACAACCTAAAGTGCCATAAACTTTCAAGAGTTCTAGGGATGTATAATGGTAGAAAGAAGCTTATATATTCTAAATTAGGAACTTAGTCGACTTAATAATTCATGCGAATATGCGATCTTATACTACTTAGCTAATAGGTGTCGCTGCGGAAAATGGTATGAAATATTGTTAAATGCGTTCTGTTTAAATATCTGTGATGTGATGTTTTGGTGGCTTTGGGTATCACATAATTACATTTACATAAACTTCATCATCATACTATATGTTATTAATTTATTGTGATACACTGCTAAGGTAAACAATACAGCGTGCCCCTCTAAGATTTTCCGATTACGATATCTCATGAGAGAATAAATATATCATAAATCTGTTTTTTTTATTACCCCCAGAGACAAGGACTACACAAATTTTACAATTTTAATTTTGAAATAATTGAAGATAGTCTTTTAAAGACTTTATTTTGAAACATTTTGGATTTTGAAAATTTTATTTTCACTAATTGCATGATTTTTTTTAGTTTATAGGTATAACAGGTTTTGTCCGGTGGCGGATCCCTCTCTACGGCTAATGGGCATATCCTCGCGGGAAACTCTGTATACATATCAGACATACCTAATACTTGCATATCTGTGTATCTAACAGGAAAATGGTATTGGGACGACCTTAACGCCAATAAATCTATTTCTATAAAATATAAAAATATAATAAATTCACCGAATACCAACTGTTTTTACTCAATCTTGCTGTGTTGTGCATATATAACACTCTGTATAGAATATAACGCAAATCTAGGAATCTATTTTTATATAACCCCAGAGCTAGGCCCTGACCTATGTCACATCTCATTCCACCAATTATGATGAGTGGTATTTGGTTGATTACTTTATAGTTATAGTCTACAATATCAAAAACGTATTACTTTTTAATCAATGATATATGGATTATCATTTATTGCAAAAAAAAATACTATATATTTAACCATGCCTCTGCTGCCTCCGACACTTCCTCTATCGGTATAACGGTAATCCATAATGAACTTTGTTTTCTTGCCGTACACGGTATCTAGATGACTAGATGTACTAAACTGTTTCGTAGAACACCACGGAAGCATTATTGTAACCCACATACCATATTTTGGTGGTATATTGATATTTAATAAAACGTATACTTGTCTGATTTTTACATTTGACGGTACATTTTGGACACCTAACAGTCCGCAATAATGGGGGATAACACTTTTTGAAAATTAAACTTTCGGAGCAGGTGTGAAAAAATATTTTGCCTTGTTAACGGACATAAATCGTAAAAGTTCTGTTGAACATAATGCAATACTTCCTGGTATAACAATTCATGGAGATATTTTCACCATTTCGAATCGTTTCACGACTGTCAAAAAAAAAAAAAAACCATCATATTATTATTGCATATACTTACGCACTGTACGGTGTGACAATCAAGACAAATGTTCTTAATATACATTTTGGACCATCGGCGAATAGTTTTTGCCTACACCTAGTTCCGGTCGTATATCATACGATACTGTCATTTGGTATTAGCTAGGTACCTAGGTACATAATTTATAATAATAATGGATTAATGGAGTTTTACCTTGAACCGTTGGGTGAGGTTGTGCCAGGTCGCAATTAGTAACGTTTAAACAAGCCGATAAGTATGTACATATTTTTTTCAATATACCTAATTATGAGTAAATTTTTAAATAGAACAATTATTTACATAGGTATATCAGATTATAATGACCTGTAATGAATAACATAATAGAAATACATACATAACAAGGATATCAAAAACATTATTTAATACTTGAATAACAATAATACACATCAATTAAAAATCTATGCTAACTTTATACTTATCTTAGATATATATAAAAAAAAAAATTATAAAAAAATATAAAGTATGAAGACTGAACAGACGAAGAGTATTTGAACTGCGGGTTTTGTTCGAAGTTTTGATGGACCGGAATTTATGTATTTACACAGTGGGTCAAATAGATTGTGAACTACAAGCTATATTTTCATTTTCAATATACTGACAGTTTATTTGGAAATTTTATTTCACTCATATCATAATGTAATAGAAGATTGGTAAATCGGTTTAGTTAATTTGAACGGCGTTGTTTCATCAATGATATTTATTCTTCACTTAACATTATTGTTTTGCTGGTAGGTACATCGCATTATGACGCGTGTATATTAATGTATTCCTTCGTAAAATGAACTTTACGATTTAAATGTTGCTTAGTTTTATGAGTGTGTTTGGACCTTATAGTATAAATAATTGATTGCGATTTCCGTGTTAATAATATTTGAAACAAAGTCATATAATTAACATGTCAGAAATAGCTTTTAATATAATATAATCATTGCTCACGCTCTATTATGTCCCAAGTGCTTGGAATAAACGGTCTGGAACATGAGATGACCCAGGAATTGGCGTTTGTGAAGTTTTATCTTGTTTTCTCTATTTCAGATTCAATTTAAATATACATTTTATGTAGTTTTCTAATAGTTCCCTATAGCTCATATGATTCATTTTTTTTGTTTTTTATATATATCTATAATAGTGAATAATGTTTTAATAACATGCCCTTAATATATAACATAAATAATTGTAAAATAAAACAACCTAAACTTAAACAACATAATAACAAAACATCATACTATAAATTATTTATCAAACATTTTTAGTTTGAAATTTAAATTAAATTTACATTTAGTTAGTGTTGTTTCCTAATAATATTTTTTTAGTGTAATACAGATTAATAGGACTTAATTAAATTAATATGAAAATAACCAGAATTTATTTTGAATTTGACAAATTAAAAGATTATTTAACATTATTGACATACGATATAACTGATCCCGAAAATATAGTTATATAAGTAAAAATCATTTTCAATGTTGGGAGTTTTAAGCTCTAATATAAATCTATGTAGAACAGACTCGTGAGGGATCCACACCACATAATAAGTACATAACATAATATCATCATGCAGTGGTGTCACAATTTTAAATTTTAATTTCTATACAAAATTCATATTTTTTGATTGATGCATTGTAATATTAAAAGTTATGAAAAATTAAAATATAATAAAATACATAGTGTATAAATAAATAAATAGTAATAAATAAATATTTTGTATTTGAACATAGAATAACATAAATATGTGACTATAGAATATAATTAAAATAATTAAGTTTATCAAAACATCGGTTTTTCTTTCTATTGAAATCGTATGCCTAGATTAGTTTTTAACATACCTCAATAATCAAAAAGACATATTATATTACAAATTTTAGTTCATTGAAAAATAAAATTATATAAAAAATGATAGCTTTATATTTTATTTTGAATTCAAGGTTACGATTATTATCAATAATGGCGATTAATTATAATTTAATACTGTCACATTTAACGTTTTACCTATTAATCTTAAGTTATTTTCAGTTATGATGTACCTAGTACTAGGTTTTTCCAATAATTGTAATATTATAATATAGCTATTATTAAAAATAGGAACTTAAGATCCAACTTATTATGACGTATCTGATTCGTTGTTATGTGTATTTCGATATTGATGTGCAAATAATTTAACTTGTTCGATGGAGCTCCTGCTGAAATTCGATATTATACCAATCTTCCATGAAAAAATGTAAGCTTATTTTTAATTGATTTTAAACATATTTTACGTAATTAAACCTATCACAATTTTGTGTTTAAACACATTAATTATTATTGTTCTTTTATATGTGTTATGAATTATATATAAGATGAATCAAAATTGTTTCGTATTGTTATTATTCTATATTATTATAATCATGGAGTGAAGCATATTACTCTGTGTTTTTACGACTTTTACAGAGCTTAAATAGGCGTTTTGTTTATTTCATACCGTTCCTTAATAATTTACGGTCATTAAATTTAAAACAAATATGATATAGTTTGCAGAAAATATATTATGTTTATAAAAATGTTGGTTTTAGGTACATCTTGTTTCATATTCAAGTTGTCCATTTTTGTCAAGTGGCAATAACCCTAAAACTACACTGCCACATTTCACTGTATACCTCAAGCCAGTGGCAAAACTAATTTTGCAAATCAATCCTTTTATTACTGACCTCGTGTATTGCACTTGAAACTTATCACATTTTGTATTTTCAATGTAATAAAATTGGGCATAGTCAATTGTAAATACTCTTGTGGATCTATCAGTTCTAACTACATATCTGTTCGAAAATACGCTTATTAAATCATGTAACTTTTCGTTATTGACGAGACTGCTGTAAACGGCACCAGTTAACTCGTCATCACTTATACTCAAATCAGTTTCCGAGAGTGAATTTATGAGTTCGTCATTATATGTAATCAAATTATGATATTCATTATGGTCACCATCAAAATCTTTCCAATTTTCTATTTTGTATTCAAAATCTGATGGAAGAAATACAACGGATTCCGTTGAATTCAGAAACATTAAATTGTTTTTTATAAAAAAGTTTGAAATCGTATCACAATCTTTTGTTGATACAGTGGTGAAAATAAAATTAATTGAAATAAAAACTAAAACTAATGTATTTATAGAACTCATTATTTGGTATTTAAAATAATGTTTTGCAAATCGAGATTAATTTATCATTTATTTTAATAATGGTTTTATTTTAAATTATATAATATATAGTGACTATGGATAACTTAATTTTCAAATCAAGAAAACATGATAATTTTATAAAGATTGCGATTAAGTTTAAAAATATTACTTTTAAAAGTGTTTTTATAACATTATATTTTTTATGATTTCAGCCGTTTTAGGTATGATTAACTACAGATATACAAATAACATAATATTATATTTTCACTTGTTGGTTCTGACAGATAATTCGATTTAACTATTATTAACAATACTTACAAATCACTTTTTTGTCCTCAGAATAATAGTGTCCGTTTTGGTCGTTTTGGATATTGTTGGAAAAAAGTTAAAGTTTAAATCTAGTAATAACACTCTTATGTTACCATTTCAATGTCTTTAAGAATACTAAAAATAAAATAAACCTTCTCTACTCGTTTTTATATCCAATCCTACTCAATACAGAGAATGTGTCTTGTTGTAATTGGCTCGATCTTCACAAAACAGGCTTCTATGGTATTTCTATATAATTATAGGATGTGCTTGGGATAAAATATTCATACGTTTAGTAGGTAATGGTAATGATTATTTAAATAAACTGGTTGCTTAAGGTATTTTTTATTGGTATTTTAATACTATATTACTTTGGGTGTTAATGCGTATTATTTTATGCCAATTTTTTAATTGATTTAAAAACGAATTCTATTAAAAGTGACGAGAACGGTATATTTCAGATGTATATTTTAACTAATATATCTAGGTACTACCAGACTATCTAGATTCTAGATAGTTGTTATTACGTCGAAATGTATATGTAAATCATTTAAAGTGTACAATGGAGTTTCAGCGTAATTACGATGTTATAACATACATTCTGCAACAAATTTACACGTGATTATATACATTATATTTTAAATATGATTATTTTGGGTTTATGTTAATTGTTCTTTCATAATATAGATGAATTTAAATTTGTTTTAATTTTTATTATTCGATTATTATTATTATTATAAATCATTCATGGCATGAAAGCATATCCTGTGTTTTTACTATAACTTCTATAGTTACAATATTTTTTTTATCAATATTATTTTCATCTGAAATGTTCGAACACTCAGATCTATAAGTTCAACATAATATTATATTATTAATAATACTAATAATAAATTTGTGTTGTTGGAAAGTTTCAGTATAGGTATCGGATATTGTAAAAAAAAAGTTGGTAGTTTGAATTTTTGTTTAACTTTAAAATAACGACGTACATATGAACGGTTAAAATACTAACACTAATAATTAAATGTTGTACATTTTTTTTTATGTACAAACCCTACCCAATCTTTTCGTGTTGTAAATTGCTTGATTTCGATGCCGTGATACAGAACCGGCTTCAAACATTTTAAAATTAGTTTTGAAGATTTTAAAATATTATTTAGCAATGTAGGTACCGGTTGAACCTATCAATTGTATTTTCTTTGCAATACATTTTAGTTTAAATTATTCGTCAGAATCAGTCATAACCACGATTTAAGATAGTATGGTTGCCCACTTGGCAACGTTCCATTAGAAAAATGTTATCATACGGAATAAGATTTAAATCCTATGTCGTCTAAATCCTATGCTCGTTGGGTAACCATACCATCTTATATCATGGGCATAACCTATATTATAATATAGGGGTATGCAAAAATCAACAAGCTATGGTGACCAAAAGTACTGGAAGATAAATATTTAAAAAATAAATGAAATTAAAACAAGTAAATAATTGTTATTATTGGGCAATAGGTACAGAAAATTATTATAAAAGAAAACCAACAAAAAAGAAATTTCTAAAACACATGAAAACATTTTTTACTTTGTCTATAACCAAGCTTATTATACCTACTGTCCAGTAGCGGATTTTCAAAGGTATTAATTTTGTTTTTATTAAAAACAAGTATTGACTGTACTTAAAAAATATATATAAAGGTTTCTGGTGGGGGTGGTCTAATACCCTTTGGTGAATATAAAAGGGCTATAGCCCCCCCTCCCCATACGAAATTCCTGGATACACCACTGGATATCATTATCATGGTATTATAATATTATTTAGTTTAGTTTTATGGAAATAATGATTGTAAGGAAAACATTTAGGTTATACATTGTATTTCAGCTTCAAGTTCACCTAATTCGTTAATAGGCATAAATTCTAATCCGACTTTGCCACAATTAACCTTATACCTTACGCCAGCCATATATTTGATTTTGCAAATCAATCCTTCTATTCTCGTCGATTGGTATTGTAGTTGAAACTTATCACAAATTTTAGATACAACATGTATATTATTTACAAATTTAAATGAAAATACTCTTGTGCCGTTATCAGTTAAAATTATAAATCTGTTTGGGAAAATTGTAATGATTTCTTGTGATATTTGGTTGTCAATGAAACTTCTGTAAATGGCATTTGTCAACTTTTTATCACTTATATCCAAATCAGAGTTTGAAAGAGAATGTCGGTATTCGTCATTATACGTGACCCAATTGTAGTAAGTATTGTCATCTTTTACATTCGCCCAGGTTTCTAAATAAGGTTCTAAATTGGACGTCGGGATAAACATAACGGATTCCGTTGTGTTCATCATAAAAATTTGATTGTTTACTAAAAAATCTGAAACTAATTCACAACCTATCGCTAATACACCGTATACCATGAAATTAGTTAAAATAAAAATCGAAACTAATTTTTTCAAATAACTCATTATGTAGTATTTAAAATTAACGATTTGATATTATACTATATGAATATGAAATATTTTATTTCAAATTAAAAAATTTTGCATAACTTAAGTTTAATGCCAAGAAGATATGAATATTTTATAACGAATGTGTATAATACGGTTTACTTTTATAGTTTGTATTATATTAATATGGCTTTATTTATAAATTATAATCAACTAAGAAATATCATATAGATACAAATGATACAATACGTAATAATTACAATCGTTACTATCGTTAGCTCTGACCCAAAATTTCAAGTTATTTTCAGTTATAATATAGTTATGGATAGTATATTGTTCCAATTATAAAATTTCGATATAGCTATCATTAATAATACTTACAATCGATATTTATTATCCGGAGTGTCGATTTTGGATATTGTCGAAATCAGATAACAATTTTAATTAAAAAATCATAGTAAAATTATATGACGAGCTTTTTAATACCACAAATCTTTAACAGAACTAAAACTAATATGAACAACCTACTTGTATTTATATCCTAACCCTACTCATCCTCAACGACTGCGTGTTGATGTAATTGGCTTGATTTTATAAAAACTGGCTTCTAGGAATATTCCATGTAGAACTAGGCGTGTCCGTGTATCAAAGAGGGGCGGAATATTAATATACGACAATAGTCTGTCGTTGAATTTTGAGTTTTTCACAAACTGTATATTATGTAGGTACCCACTATCACGACAATTAGGTATTACATTATCACATGATTACAGTAATATTACATTGATGATAAGCCTATTCACCGTCAAAATCATGCGTTAATAATGGTTCTGGTTTTGTAATTTACAAAAAAAATACTACTTACGTTCATTTACATTATATTAATTCCAAAAGCGTTTAATACACACAATATGATAGTCTTTACCTTTATTATTGGGGTGGAGGTTATTTCTGTCTCCAGCAGATAACCACATTATTTGGTCGAACCAATTCGCTTGAACTCGAAACGAAAAATAAAAAATAAAATGTTTGTTGTTTTATTTAAAAACCAGAAGTATCGGCCAAGCCTGAAAGATATTTACGGGCAAATAGAGTGAAGGTGTCAGTCATAATTATACGTTTCGTAGTGAGTAGTAATACTCCGCAAAATGACTACAGATTGCGCCCAGAGGATAGTAATTAAAAAAAAAAAAATGTTATTTTTTACTGTTTTATTTAAAAACCAGAGGTTGCCGCTAAACGAGTTGTTGTTGATACCTAGGGCTATGACGCATGTTTATGACGTACTAGTATAAAAACCATTATAATATATTAAAATATTATCTTCTAGTAATTGAATTTATTTTGTTTCATTTAGAAATCTTTGAAAATACATATTTAAAACAAATAAAAACAAAATCTAAAGTGTCATAGTATTTTAATCAATCTTGATCGAATAAGTTTATATGAAAAAACTTGTTTTATCAAAAGGTACCAACTATTTTTAAATTTTTAACTTATTTATATGAAATCTAAAGAAATTAAAAGGAAATTAATTTTTAGAATAAATGGTTTATTTTATCTTATAGTTCCATGGAAACATGGGCCATTAGGTGTTCAAAAGGTTTTTATAAGTAATGCTAATTTTTCACTCGAGATGTATTATAGTTTATACCCAATACTTACCTATATAGGTATGGATAAATATCGCCTAAATATCTAGTCATTTTTTTTTATAATTTACAATTTTATATTTTTCCGCTATTTATATTTAACGCAGACGATGGAGTCAAGGACATTATCGTCGCCGCATTCGTATATACATACAACGCCTTAGATCATATACTACTATGTATATTATGATTTATGAACGCTGACGCCGCCGTCAACGCAGTAGAACTAGGTTACAGCTGTTGTCAGCCCATATCAACCACAACAAACGGTTATCACCAGTAATAATGTTACCGTATAATATTATATAAGGCTCGTTCTGTGAGTTATTCATTTATTCTTAATAATTAGTTGCAATGCATAGATGTAAACTGATTTACTCAGTTGTAAAATAATATAAAATCAATAATATTACGGTTTAAGGGCAGGGGAAATCAATATACTTATATTTCTTCATTAAAGAGGGCGAATTATTTGATAATGAATTTATAATTTTGTATTATTATTAGCTGACCCCGTGCACTTGTTAAAAAAGTGTCCTTTTAGTGTCCCTTCTATATTGCCCATATTATTAAATGGCGCCTCAAAACCTATTTTTATATCATACAGTAAAATGTACTCGGACATTTTTTTTTTTGTGGTGGTGGGAATTATGTTTTATCTAGACTACTGAACACCCGATATCCAATATTAACGATTGACACCCAAACTTTTATTTACATTTTTTATTCAAATGTTTGAACACCCGAATACATCCAGCACTTAAAACTCGATAAATGATTTGGGTGCAAAGCCATGTTAACAATTTAATATTACTACCTATACCATTTATATAAAATACAGGTAAAATATACATACATAATATATATTTAAGGTGTATATAGGTGTATGTTTTGAGCACTACGCTTCTATCTAAACATACAAACACAAATATAATAAAAAACGGACAATGTAACATGTAAACACTATATTAAGGTATAATTTCATTTGAATCAAAACTTTCATCAAAGTGACGTACAACACGAAAATTTTAAAACAAAAACATGATAAAATCAAATAATAGTACTTCCCTGTCAATTGGTATTGCAATGAGTAAATACATTTTTCATTTTCACTATAAATTGTTGTTCTTCTACACAGCAACGTACCTATTTTGCCTATTTGTTACGCCGTGTTCTCGAGTACATTTGTTTTTGCTCTAGTAATCGATCTAAGAACCCAGTGATCCGTATTACACAAAATATGCACTATAATCAGTGCTGTAGCCAGGGGGTTGGCTTGTTTTGTATTATATTACATTAGAACTTCCATACAACGGTCACCGATTGGACTATAAATAATGACCGCTATACAGAGGTAGGATAACACTAGGATAACCCTCGACAAGACCATAAAAATTAACCGTTACATAGAGGTGACCGTTAATGGAAGTTTTACTGTATATGTTTGATAAAAATTAAAAGTTAAAGCTGTCGAAAGCGAACCATTTTGAAGTGGTCGGATTTAGGAAATATTGTACATCCATCGTTAGTGCTGTATGACTGTGTGTGTAGTGACTAATTATTAGTGTGTGTGAGTTCCCCGAACGCTTTATGCAATTAAAGATAAACGACGGCTAAGATACTTGGACCTCAGTAACGTATATTGTACATATGCGCAGTCACGTCACTATATTTAGTTATAAAAAAATGTTTAACAAACATGTGCCACGAAACTCCCAAAAAGCGGAATTCACCCAGTACCAAAAGCCCTATGTTAATTTTGAAAACATATTTGAGTTTCTTAATCTCTTTTCAAGATTATGTAGGAAATGGATTTTTGATTATTGATTTTTAGTATTGTTTATTATTTGTATAGTACCTAAGTAATTTTCTTTTTTTTTAAATTTACTTAAAAAAAAAAAATTTGCTTCCTACAAACACAGACAAAATGCGGAGAAATTCTTATATTTTTTTGAAATTAAAATTGGACTTCTGGAAGGATATTTTCTGTAGTTTCTGCCATGCCCCGGAGTGGGGGATGGCGGCACTTGTTCTCCGGACACCGTGACTTTCCCGGAGAAAAATGCCGCCTGGTGGTCGAGAATCGAAACCGCGACCGGCAGCGCGGCCACCTCGTCCCCCATATTACACTTTATGAGTAGTCTATTCAGGGGTGGTACTTCGCTTACAAACCACAAAAGTATAATGTAAAAAATGTTGGTCCGTTGTAAATTTTTCAATTTTGTAATATGTATCTATTTCAATAATACCTACTCACTTTTATTCTCTTCCAAACATATTATTTCTCAAATAATTTTCAATCAGTTACCAAAGATAATGAGCCCAGGATTATTTAATAAATATAAATATATTATATTCACAATTTTTTTAATAAACATTTTAAGAAAAATTCCTACAAAATTTGATATTTGAACGAAGTTTAACAATTTTAATTATTTTGTTGCAACTCAAAAATATTTTTCATTGGGAATTCAATTTTTATGAATATTATTATATTTTAAATACATAATGGATGACGTACTGTCATTATATTGAAATAATATAAATTAACATATCCATTACAGTGACTTACCCACTTGCCCAAATTTTTTATCAGTGTGCCTGTTGTAACCTTTTGGAGTGGTAACATTTTTTCAATATTCATAACTGATGGTAGATTGTGACAGTAAATTGGATCTGTTTGCCTAATCTTTCCAGTCAATTTCCAAAAAATATTTAATTAGAATTCACTAGACATGATATTATTTTTGGAATATTTCTGTGGTTTTTGTGCTTATTGTAGATTTTTGAAATTTTAAGTTTTTTTATATTTATTTTTAGTAAGTTTATTATTTTTGAATACAAAAGCTAGATAAATTAATACAATTTATTAAGTTTGTTTTTGGTTTTCCATTGTGTGATTTACTTACACCGTATAACTCCAATGATACACTAAGGTCCATATACTTATTACTTGCATATTGGTGTAGGCATCTAACAGGGAGATGGGTAGGGATGGCCTTAGTGCATCAAAACCTATTTCTATAAAATATAAAATTTGTAACTGTATCGTGGATTCGTGTGTATTCGATCTGTATAAAATGTATAACGCAAGTATTTTAATATATTTTTATATAGCCCCTGAGGGACTATGAGGGACTACTGAGACCTATTATGGTGAGTGGTACACTGGATTTCACTGTTTAATCTAAATATTAAAAAGTGGGTGAGTGGATGTCGCTCTGCTGTACAGTAGGTTACAAGTGGGGCACTGTAATGAATAGTGTTAAATTTAAATTCAATGATATAATATCTTTGTATAAGAAAAACGTTTCTGAGCGAAAGCGGTCAGTTAGCCTATGATATTACTAAGTACCTATATTTTGATGATATTATTATTGTTAATAAAGTAATTTATATATTTACCTATTTACGAGGAACCTTGTTTTAAAGTTTCAATCCTAAGCTATAAAAGTTGAACATTTTATAAGTTTTTAACTACAAAATAATTGTTAAATTTTAAATTTGATAAATATTGTCAAAATTCGAACTTTAAATGATTGTAAAAAAAAAAAATTATGCCTATTTATTTTCAATTGATATTGTAACAATATATCAGCCAACAGATTTTGCATAAAAATCGCCTTTTTCCTTAATTTTTCTTTTGTTTTTCACGGTGCTTTTGAAAGCTACTGGGAAATTTTTACTTTTGACCCCCCCCCCCCCCCAAGTATCAACTAGATTCACTTTCTTATCAGAAAAGATACGGTTGAAGAATATCTAAGTATTTTAACTGTCCTAAAAAGTGATGATAGACACAAAAGAAAATTAAAAAAAAAACACATCAATTAGTCACATAGTTCCACTCAGAATATAAATTAATTACTTTTTAATTAATAGAATGGGTATTAAATAATCACTGTTATCTTAAAAAAGTGTATGTTTTAACTTTTTTGTCATGTCTTTGCTTTCTATGACACCACTATCGGTAATATGGTAATCCATAATTAACTATTCTTGCTTTTTTCAATATCTAGATGCACTAAACTGTTGCATGGAATAGTACGGCAGTATTGGTAACCCATATAGCAGCTTTTGATTTATTTGAAACTTGAAAAAACGTATACTTCTCAGATTTGGATAATACATTTTTCGACCACCAATGGTCCACTGTAATTGGTGGAAAACGATTTTTTAAATTAATCATCGGAGTAGGTGTGGCGAAAAATTCTTACCTTTGTTAATCGGCTAGGTATATATATATATATGAATTCTGTCCTGTTGAACATTATGCAATACTTAATGACCCATCGATTAGTGGAGACAATTTCACAGTTGCGAATCGTTTCAAGACAGTCTAACCTTTAACATATTAGTATTGTACACATATACGATATACTCACGTACTTGGCATGCCAACAAGAATATATTACATGTTTTGGACCATCGGCGTATAGTTTTTGCCTATACCTAGTCCCGGTCGTATAATATCATACTGTCAATGGTATTAGGTACATAATATAATAATGATATGTTAATGGAATTTTACCTTGAACTGTTCGGTGAGGTTGTGCCAAGTCACAATTAGGAACGAGCCGATAAGTACGTACATATTTTTTTCTATAATATTATGAGAGTTCAATTTTTAAAATAGAACAATTTACATATTAGATTAAAATGTAGATAACTGTATGAATAAACATACAGTACATATTTTGCATGGATGACAAAAACATTTATTTCAATGGCAATAATACACATCAATATTATAATCTATGCTAACTTTATACTAATCTTAAATACATATATATATAAAATTAAATATAAAACATATTTAGCATGAAGAGACTAAGAGTATGTGAGCGGTGGCTATAATCTCCATATATGTACTGCGTGGTTTTGTCCCGAAGTTTTGATGGACCGGAATTTATGTATTTACACCGTGGGACTAAATAGATTGTGAGATACAAGCTATATTTTCATTTTCAATACACTGACAGTTTATTTGTGAATTTTATTTCACTCATATCATAATGTAATAGAAGATTGCAGGTTCAGTTAATTTTAACGGTGTTCTTTCATCAATGATATTTATTCGTGGCTGTAAATTATTGTTTTGCTGGTAGGTTTATCGTATTATGACGCTTGTATTAATGTGTTCCTTCGTAAAATGAACTTTACGATTTAAATGTTGCTTAATTGTATGCGTGTATTTGTAAATTACAGTATACATAATTTATACGCATGCGATTTCCGTGTTATTATTAACGGAAATATTATTATTTGAAACAAAGTCATTTAATTACCATGTCAGATATAGCTTTAAATAATAATATAATTATTGCTCACGCTCTATTAGGTCCCAAGTGCTTTTAATAAACGGTTTGGAACATGAGATGACCCGGGAGTTGGCGTTTGTGAAGTTTTCTGAAGTCGTACAGCAATGATAGTTCAATTCAAATATACATTTTACATAGTTATCTATATAGTTGCTTATATTGTTACATATTAATTTCTTTATTGACATTTTTTTATTCTCAATATGAATATAGGTAATGATAATGAATAATGTGTACAATATAAAACGTACCTAAACTTGATAACACAATAACAAAAATTAATACATTTAATATTATTTATCAAATATTTCTAGTTTGAAATTTAAATTTAGTTGGTGTTGTTTCATAATAATAATTTTTTAGTGTAATACAGATTAATAGGACTTAATTAAATTAATTTGAAAATAACCAGTATTTATTTTGAATTTGAAAAACCAAAGTATATTTAACATTATTAACATATTATAACTGATCCCGAAAATATATATAGTTATATAAGCAAAAATCATTTTCAATATTGGGAGTTTTAAGCTCTAATTTAAATCTAAGAAAAACAGACTCGTGAGGGTTAATGCCTCACACACTACATAATAAGTAGGTACATAACATAATATCATCAGGCAGTGGTGTCATAATTTTAAATTTTAATTTCTATACAAATATTTATTTTTTTGATTGATACATCATAATATTAAAAGTTGGAAAAAATTAAAACAATATACAATACATTGTAAATATTCAGTATTTGAACATAGAGTAACATAAATAATGTGTCTACAGAATATAATTAAAATAATTATCGGACACCACCAAATAGTAAAGTTTTTTTTGGGAACAAACTACAAACTTTCTACAATCTGAACCCTCTGAATATTAGACGAAATCTAAATAGCCGAGAGGGTCGTATTTAGACGTTTCACTGTATATATTAAAATATTATATTAGCTGTGGATTAATATGCAATGTCTTCGAAATTTGATAACTTACTAATATAGTAATATTATAATGTGTTTTTATATTTTAAATGAATATTTATTGATTATACATCGATAAATAATATAAGTCGGGTTTAATAATGATTATAACAATAATAATATACAACAAATTGTTAATATTCGGTAGGTATCATAGAGTTAAATAAAAAAGTCTCAAAAAAATATTAATCGAATAAATAAATAAAATGTAATAACGTTGTTCTCAAAATACATGTTGTATGTATATTTTAACAAATACTGATTAAACTCTGATTAGAAATCAGACTATCTAGATTCAAGATCGTTATTATTACGTCGAAATTTATATGCAAATCATTTAATGTGTACAATGGAGTTTCAGCATAATTGCGATATTATAACATACGTTCTGCAACAAACTTACATGTGATTATATACATTATATTTCACATATGATTATTTTGGGTTTGAAATATTATTTTATTATGTTGATTGTTATATGATATAGATGAATGGGGAAATTTGTTTTAATTTGTATTATTCGATTAGTATTATTAATTATTATTATGGATCATTCATGGCATGAAAGCATATCCTGTGTCTTATCTGGTGACAAAAAGTGCTGGAAGATAAAGATTTAAAAAATAAATTAAATTTTAATAAGTGAATAAATGAATAAAATCATTTAATGTTACTATCGGGAAATATAGAACATATAATTATAATAAAAGAAACAATCAAAAAACGGAATCAGAAATCATTTTTACTCAGTTTCTTTTTGCAATGCCAAGCTTAATATACATATTCTCCACTGGTGGATTTTAAAAATTGTTTAGTTGGTCTAGTAACCCCAGACTGGAGCTCCCCCTCCTCAAATCCACCACTGAACTATTCGTATAATGTATACATCATTTAGACAATGACGGACAATGATGGAGGTCCAGTATAAATTATTCGTGTAAACTAGTAAGAAGTAACTACGGTAGAGTAGGTACTATTTTTAAGGAAAACTGTGTTTTTTAAGTTAAGCGTTATGCATTTTATATACAAAGTGATTCACCAAGCATGCTTACAATGTTATTTAACTTTGTGTTTTAAGGACAAAAGGTACATGGTAAGAGGTTTATAAGAAATAGGAATGGAGGCTATGGTTTTATATTATGAAGATGGTAGTAATTAACATTAATAATTTGTAAAAATGGCCCTAGTATAGTTATTACTAGATACAATTTTATATTTATGTAATACCATTTTTAAGGATTTTCATCTTTTATACAAATATTTTAATAACTAAGAATCTACTCATTCAAAATTTTAATTAGGTATATCAACGTTTTAAAAAAAAGATCCATTAAATAATTTACAGTAAAAAAGGAGGGCTCTTATTTGAAAAATAGAAGCTTGTATTACCACAGGACACTTATTTAGTAGTACAAAAAAATTCAAGAATTTTAAAATATGGTCTTTGAGTAGGTATATTTAAAGGTTTCAAAAATCCTTTCGGAAACCATTTGCAAGAAATTTAATACTATGGAAATTAATTTGTACAAAATATTGAGCTTAAGCCTAAAATTAAACATTTTTATAACGTTTTCACTTAGCACACTAAACTTGTAGTTCACACGTCTATAATATCTATATAATATTATAGCATATTAATTAATATAAGACTATAGGATAGTTTTAATTAATATTTATCTGTTTCATTGTTGTAAATTTATTATTAATATTCAGTTGCTATTTGTAGTATGATTTATGAATAACATAAATAATTATTTGAATGGAATTATACAATTAAAAATTACTTCATTAAACAAATCATGATATTCTAATATTATTTAGTTTAGTTTTATGAAAAAAATGAGTGTAAGGAAAATCTTTAGGTTATACATTGTATTTCAGCTTCAAGTTCACCTACTTCGTTAATAGGCATAAATTCTAACCCGATTTTGCCACAAATTACCTTATACCTTATGCCAGCCATATATTTTACTTTACAAATCAATCCTTCTATTCTTGTGGATTGGTATTGTATTTGAAACTTATCACAATTTTTAGATACGACATTTATATTATTGATATATTTAAACGAAAATACCCTCGTGCCATTTTCAGTTAAAATTATATATCTGTTTGGGAAAACTGTTATGATTTCTTCTGATAATTGATTGTCAATGAAGCTTTTGTAAATGGCATTCGTCAACTTTTTATCACTTATATCCAAATCAGTGTTTGAGAGAGACAGTTTGTATTCGTCATTATACGTAATCAAATTATAGTAAACATTGTCATCTTTTACATTCGCCCAGGTTTCTAAGTAAGGTTCTAAATTAGACGATGGAATAAACACAACGGATTCCGTTGCATTCATCATATACATTTTATTACCTACTAAAAAATTCGAAATTAATTCACAACCTATCGATAATACACCGTACACCATGAAATTGGTGATTATAAAAACCGAAAGTAATTTTTTTATTTTATTCATGATATTATAATATTTAAAATTAACGATTTGATATAATACCTATTATATTATGGAATATTTTATTTCAAATTAGAAAATACCTATGTATAATTTAAGTTTTAAATCAAGGAGATGTATTTTATAACGGATGTGTATTATTATACCCTTTATTTTTATAATTTGTATTATACGAATATGGTTTTAGTTATAATTTACTATAAAATATAATATAGGTACAAATGATACAATACGTAATTACTTGTTACTTGTTTGGTACCTCTGATACAAAATTTCAAGTTATTTTCAGTTATAATCTAATTCTGGATAGCAGATTTTTCCAATTAAAACGTTTCGATATAGCTATTATTAAAAATACTTACAATCGATAATTGTCATCAGAAGTGTCAATTTTGGATACTGTTAAAAGCAGAAAAAAATTTTAATTTAAAAATTTTAGCAAAATTGTATGACGAACTCTTTAATATCACAAGTCTCTGACAACACTAACATGAAAATGTACTACCTACTCGTATTTATATCCCAACCCTACTCATCCTCAACGACTGTATGTTGATGTAAGTGGCTTGATATTATAAAAACTGGCTTCTCGGATTTTTCTATGTAATACTAAGTGTGTCCGTGTATCAAAGAGGGGCGGAATATTAATAAACGACGATAGTCTGTCGATGAAATTTGATATTTTCACAAACTTCATATTATTTTATATCACGACAATTATTACATTATCACATAATTACAGTAATATTATATTGATTTACCTAAATAAATTATGTATTGATAATAGTTTTGGTTATTATAATTTTCAAATAATACTACGTTAATTTACATTATGTTAAATCCACAAGCGTTTAATAAACACATGCCTTTATTATTAGGGTGGAGGTTATTGCTGCTTCTTGTAGAGGGTTTCACCTTATTTGGCCCCACCAATTCACTTAAACTCGAAATGAAAAATAATATTTTTGTTTTAAAAACCAGAGGTATCGGCCAATCCTGAAAGATATTTACGGTCAAATATAGTGAAGGCCAGTCGTAATTATACGTATCGTAGTGAGTAGCAAAATACTGCGCAAAATGACTGCAGATTGTTCCCAGAGTATAGGTAATTCGTAATTAAAAAAAAAATATTTTTTTTCTGTTTTATTTAAAAACCAGAGGTAGCCGCCAAACGAGTTGTTGTTGATACCTATATGACGCATGCTTATACGTGGACAGGCTAGTATAAAAACCAGTATAATATATGAAATGTACTTCTAGTCATTGAACATATTTTTTCTTATTTAAAATAGGTAGTTACATTGAAAATATTTAAAACAAATAAAAACGAAATCTAAAGTGCCATAGTATTTTATTCAATCCTGGTCTAATATGTTTATATCAAAAACTATTTTTATCAATAGATACCAAACAAATTTAATTTTAGAATAAATAATGATTTTTTATTTAAAAGACTCTCTGCAACATGAGCCACTGTGATTTCAAAAGTGTTTTTATAAATAATATTACTTTTTAACGTTATATATGTATAGTTATGTATAATATATATACTTATTATAATTTATAGATAAGTATCTATAATACTTACCCAAATAGAATAGTTTTTTTATTTTTTAAATCAAAATTTTATTTTTTTATAATGATTTATAATTAGTATGTAACTAAAAATGCAATAACTCTATAACTTATTTTTAGAAATAAATACATTAGGAGTGTAATGTACGTACTATAGCTATAGTAGCTGATTGGATAATAAAAAGGAATGAGTAGGGACTATGTTATAAAGTAAAAATAAACCCATACAAAAATTAAAACAATCCTTGACTTATTGATAATTTGAAAAACATACTAATTATTATTAATTTTGTTATAAGAACAATAAACAAAAAAATTTAATTACACATGTTATAACTTATATATCGCATAAATAATGTATTAGCTATAGCTATAGTCTAATTTTCAAATGTTCAATAATACATTTTTAATTTAATTAGGCCATATTTTTAATGTATATAAGGAGTCATAAGCTCATATAGGACCTATGTATTTCATAAAATTAATTCAAATATGTATTATCGTATACGTAAATGATAAATCAAGATATACATAGAATTATATATTATTTGAAAAAATACTCATTAAATAATATTACACTTATACTCAAGGCCATAATATTATGTTAAAAAATAACTAAAGATACAACATTTGATATGCAGAACGCTGATCAATACAGCCGGACACACATTCTTAAGATTTCTATCATGCAATATAAAATATTAATTTACTATTCTCATTATTGATGCCTCAGCTCATTTCCTTCATCGTTTTTAATTAAAAATCAAAATATCGGTAATTAGTAAAATATAAACTTTAAATATTTAAGAATACTTTATATTATTATGTTTACACTTTGAAGTTTAAGAACCTCTAAAAGGTCGTAATATCGTCTGCTGTGTGTCTGTGTCTTAGATTTTGAAACGTATTTATTATTCTCTTTTGGTACAATTTTTGGACAGAAATAGTTCTCAGACATTTTCCCCCGTCGTCTTCAACGACCGTCTCTGTGACGTGGTCCCAGGAAAAAGATTCATTTGGATTCAAATGATTTTTTTGCCCACCACGTCTTATGCTTCGTACCAACCACCAGCGACACGAGCGCGCTCACCTGTGACGGGAGGGGCACGCTGGAACCAAGTCGAAACGGACAACCTGTGCGAAACGGTCGGACAGACGTCGGTCTGTCTTTTCATATACGCGCACCCAACTTGAGCTCCGTCCGTACCTTGCCTATAAATTTTGGTTACTTTTGAATATAATATTTTGTTTTTTTTTTTTTGGTATTACAAACGAAGCGTTAGCGTCAACTTGCTTCATTGTTGTTTATTTTTGTTTTTTTTTAAATCAACCGACACAGCACCACCTCTGACGAAGCTGGACGTTTGCTCGATCGCATTAATCTGTGTTTTTTTACGTCGATAAATTATCGTTATACCTCCTGCGGTCACCTTATTTCATATTTATTAATTGTACCAGCTTGTGTGAATCCAATCCTACCGGCTACAAACACACAAAACGCGACAAAATGGATACCCCGCCGGCTGTGTCATCTGGTTGGAAATTTTAAAAATTATTACACGTGTCAAACAATTTTTAAGAAATGCCTGAGAGCATAATTATATTGACGTGTACGTATGTATAGTGTTAACCAAGTTCACAAAGAATCGGTTTTAGTGTACAAAGGTTGATCCTTATTTCTTATACAATATCTGCAAAGAAGTGATAGAAAGCAAGACTGTCGTGACTCGGCGTCTGTAGTGTTGATTTTTTATAAAAAAAAATGTTTGTATATTATGATATTATAGTGTTATCTTGAACATAAAGTTATAAATTCCTTAGTGTAACTTTCTTTGTATTGACATTGGCTTTGTGATGCTATTAGACTTAAATCGATGCCGCTTTTTATATTTGGGCATAAAAGTATAATACCTATACAATAATTTAAATTAATATTTATATCTTGGTCCATATTTAAACATCATCAATTTAATTGTTAGAAAAATAATATCATAGAATAGCTAACTATTTATACAAAAAAAAAAAAATAATATATTTTATCGACTTGTAATATTACCAATTAATTAACACTAATAATAAAAAGTAGTATGAATATGTATGTTCTAAATACTGATCCCTTGATCCTTGATCCTTGATCCTAAGATTCCGAGATCCTTGATCCTTGATGTATGATTCCGAGACTCTTGATCCTTGATTGCGTACGTGTGTGACGTATATTTACCCCTCCACCTGAACCCGTATCACGTGACCGAAACATATTTTGTATATTTACCCCACCTCCCCGCCCCCTCTGATCCGCCGCCGATGATTGCGTACGTGTGTGACGTATATTTACCCCTCCACCTGAACCCGTATCACGTGAGCAATATATATATATTTTGTATATTTACCCCTATTTACCCCTCCACCTGAACCCGTATCACGTGACCGATACATATTAACCCCCCACCTCCCCACCACCTTCCGATCCGTTATGTGAGCAACATATATTTAATATTATTATAAATATTATCAGTTATCAATACACATTTATCCTGTAGACTCTTAGATATTATACTCAACAACAAATTAAAATACCTATTAGTGAATAACACACAATGAAATCAAACTTCCCACGAAATGTTATCATGCCTGTTAATGAATAACACATTAATAATCAATCTATACTAAAAAATATCATAATCGCTTAACAACAACAACAAATTAAAATACCTATTAGTGAATAACACACAATGAAATCAAACTTCCCACGAAATGTTATCATACTTGTTAATGAATAACACATTAATAATCAATCTATACTAAAAAATATCATAATCGCTTAACAACAACAACAAATTAAAATACATGTTACTGGATAATACACAATGAAATCAAACTTCCCACGAAATGTTATCATACCTGTTAATGAATAACACATTAATAATCAATCTATACTAAAAAATATCATAATCGCTTACACGTTAGACTCTTAGATAGCTTGATATTGTATCTCCTACCAATTAATGGACCCATCCACACCCATCTTGCCTCTGTAAGAGCTGACATTCATTCAGTCTGTTCTCAGTCTTACACAATTGTAATTCTCCTCTACGTTTCTATCAGTCTTATAATTTGTTCTGAGCTTATAATTTTTTACAAGTCATAATATATTATTCTAAAGTGTTCTAAATTTTTCTAAGTATTTGTAAATTTAAAGTGTTTTTATTTTTCAATATGGCCGGTCCAATTGTTGATATCAAAAAGAAGTCGTATACATACATTCCACCGACACCACCTGCATATCTTATGGAATCTACATCATATACATTAGACTT